ATATTTATCTATGTTCTCCTGGATATCTTTGCGTTCTTACGAAAATACTTTACTAGTTTTCGTTCTTTACTTATAACTTCGTTTTCGCTCGTAACAAGTTCAAGCATAAAAACACTCTTGAACCCTCCGGCTCCTCCTTTTTTGGGATCTAGGCACCTCACTTGCTGAATTGTTGGTTGTTTGTTATGTCATGTGAGGTTGTTTGATGGCCCATTAATTATTTTGGCCTAACGTTCTGTCCAAATCGTTGTGTTCAGTGCCTAGCAACCTCATCGAGACCAAAAACAACAATTATAATGGGAAAATTACTTTTTCCGTTTATCGATCGATTTTGCAGTCTGCTCACTCACTCAACTTCATTTCAAGAATCGTTGAGTCATTTGGAACCCCATCTAGACTATACAACGACCTGCGGGGCAAGCCGCTTTAATTTTTTTTCATGTTCCTAAACAGGCCCAAGTTAGGGGACCACGAAGGCACACAAACATCAGTCTTTGGGGCTGCCGTCGATCCTGGTCCTGATCACCGGACCACACGGGCTACAGTGTCGCCTACCGCCACTACTCCACCCCCACTCATCCAGGTCCAATGTTTTCGAAGCCATGTTCTTTTAATTCGGGCAGAAACTACCACATCTTCAAGCGTTTTTTGGGGCCAGTGTAGGGATTTCGTCGAAATAGGATCCATGCCTATTACCCCTTCTATTTACCCACACCCCTTACTGATGCCATGGCTCCCCGATGGTGTTCCATTGCATATCTGCTGTTTACTTGGGAGAACTATGAATCTTTGAGCTACCAAGGGGCAAGCTAGCTGTGTTACTGCTAATTACTGCTTGTTAATTATCTTTAAATGCTGGAGTAAACAAGGATATCTGATGAGATGAAGTGTTATTAAATTTAATTATTACAAAACTACGGAAAACCTCTCCATTCCAATGCAATTTGTGAGCAGCTATTACTTGATTTACTTACAACTTTAGAGTATGTTGGCTGTTCAGGATCCGAATCTGCAATTCCTATGCCGTGGCTCGCTATCGGACTACGCGGCATGCCAGTGTAAAGAGGACGAGGGTGAAGTTGCATGCATAAATGCGCAATTCGTCGACACTGAAGTCTTCTTCAATCTCAACGCTCATTACAAGTACGATTATCGATTGGTTCATTACCCAAGAAAAACAGGGGACGCAAAGTTAAATCGGTCCCACTCAGCTACAATCCTCATTGCATTTGAGCCTCTTCCACCGGCCACCCTCATCTATTCACCTCAGGTAATGAAAAGTGTATCTGATTAGTGACCGGTGGATTTCGGACATTCGGGTTTTTGCCCACTGGGTGGGTGAGGATCAGGGGCACCCTATAGTGTAGGAACTGGATAGATGGCTAGTATAAGAGAAGAGAATAACTCAAAACTGGATTTTGAAGTAGTTGAGATCAGAAAAGAAAAACAAACTCCCTGGAGATTGCTTTTCGAAGACAATGGAAAGGCCTCGGTGGCTCCTACCTTAAGTTGAGCATTTCCGATCGAGCAGCAATACATCCGAAGAAAATACTGAGCCACTCATTGTCAATACAGTAATACCAAGTATACAATTGCCCGTAATGATGTTAAAGTATGACTTCACAGACATAGGACTTTGACCCTTGTTTGCTTATTGAGGTAGAAGAAAACTTGGTTTTTCTCAGTGGTAAGCAAACCGCTCATCAAAACAAATAACTTGGAAACATTAGTGAGATCGATAGTAAAGTCACATCATTGGGGTTTTTCTCTTCTGTTTGTTTTCCGAATTCCGTTTTTCTGTCCATTTTTCTGCATTTTTATATTTATACCACCAATATCCGTCCAAAAGTGCACTACCAACTGGGCTTCTCTAAACCACTCGTGGCTAACCACATTTTACTCGATTACTCAAAGAAGTAGTTGTTTTCGATCGTTGTACTTTCTCGGTTGGCTTGATGATGACATCATTTTTACAAATGATTACTACTTACTCGCTCCTACTCTGAAGCCGTATTGAAGTTATTCTGAATGGGCTCATTGACGCATACACGTAGCCGAGTTGGGGCATATGTGGCTATTCGGCTATTAATGGCTGATGAATGGACGACTAGTAATTCATGGTATTGCGGGTAATTATCCATAAATGACGTGATTGGTCCTTAATCGAATACCAGTAAATAACAACAGCCAAGTACATTATCTTGATGGGTGGTCATTAAATTGGTCGGCGATTAACTCAATGAAATCCTATCCGTTTGAAAAGTCCGCTGAACTTCTAAATGATCCTTCACCTTTCAGCATTTAAACTGCAAAGGAGCAGTTTCCATATTTTCAAAGGAACCTAGTAGAATGGAACCACAGAATGGAACAATTTTCAGTAAGCTCTTAATATCTGTGGGTGGTCTCGGTAGTCTGTCGAGCCCGACTTCTAGAACGTTACCGAAGTTACCAGTTACGCTTCGAAGTAAGCATGTTTATACTTGTCGAATCTACTGACTGCGTGTGCTTCACAGTCAGTTTGCTTTCTGCAAATGCAAACATCTAATCTGTGGGACTCAGTTGGGCTGCTGTCCAGTATTTTATTATTGTTTATGTTTGTAGTAGTTGACGGTTTTTGGTTCTGGAAGCCATCAATTATATTCATGGATAAACAAACCCTCAAATAAGGGAAGGGTTACTTACACTAGTAGCCTGACGAAGGCTCTAGGAAACTTTTCAAGTCCCATGTATGCAGAGGTGGGCTACAACTACGTGAAATTACAAGTAACCCTGAAAAAACTAGGTGAATGGAAGGTGTTTTAGACCAAAAAGTTTGAATACGGATCCGAAAAAAAGAATGTGTCGAAAAAGAAATAAATCGGAAACAATTGTAAGAACCGTTAAAGGGAATGTACGTATGACTTCCCACCGAACCCTTCCATTTTTTGCAGCTTTGGCCTACTAATCTTAGGGGTTCCCTCCTTTGCTGTTCATGGGGATGCCACCTTCGCGCACGAAAAAAACCTATTCTTCTACCGGAATAGACCAGAATAACAAGTTCCTCCATCCNCTTGTACAGGGAATCCTACCTTTACAGAAATCTGCCTTTCGGAAGTAACCCGCCCCCCTCCCCGTATGTAATCCATGTAAGGACTTCCCATGCTTAAAATGGTTCCAAGAGAGAACCGTTGGTTCCGTGGAGTAGTCAGCTGCCATACTGAATGTTTCCCTTCACACGTTCAGTGTGAACAGCCACTTTCGTCGTGAGCACCGGCTGTCACTTGTTAAAAGATGAAACTTAAGTATATCTTGTCATGTTCCTCGTTCTCATCCATCATCATTTTCAGAACCCTCCAGAAGGTGACGTTCCATGGGAATAACTTTCAAGATCTGCCATCGTCATCGTTATTTGGCCCAGTGAGCCATAGCAGATTGCATACGTTGAACATATCGGCCAACTACATAGGTTTGTCTTTACATCATCATTGTTTCACTTGAAATGAACTGAAACGTCCTGGGTTTTGAAAAAACTGGCCAGAGGAAATGAGCTTTCACGTTGTGCATCCCAACTAGACGGGAATCTGCATCGGCAGATACATGAGAAGGGTGGGCTGTAATTTCAACTCTCTTTACACTAGCGATAAGAGTGGAAAGCGCTTTCGAAATGAAAAGTTCGCAAACTTTTTCCAAAACGAGGGATTTGCTCACCGGTTGGGAATGCTCTATAAGTTCGCCATAGTGTGATGGCTATACACGATGTCTGGAGCGGGCATAGTGTCGTGATGGGACCTCAGCAGAAGCGCTATTTTTTGCTCAGAATCAAACTCTAGATCATAAAATATTATTCTTTACATTTATTCCCTTTTTTGGAAGGAGGTGGTGTAATAGCAAGTGGCACCCAGACATAGTATCCAAGGATCGAATCTCGGATCGATATCCGCCCAGGCCAACTGAGCTTTCCATCCTTTCACGTTCGATTGGTTGGTACCAGATCTATATGGGAGGATAAAATATATCGACTGGCCACTGCAAGTCATTGTATAGACCAAATACTTTTTAAAAACTCCATTCTGAATGGGCCGAATCTGGGGGGGGGGGG